AATTATACACTCCAGTCAAACCTCCCAAGGAACAAGTGAGTTACTAAATATACAAGAGATCATTGGTGGAGATTTAACCCTGCTTAGAGTAGGCTGCTCCAATATTTTATAATTTTTAAAGTAGGTTATAGCATTATTGCACAGTCATATTTTTAAAATAACTTAGAATGGAGAGAAATTTGGCAGTTATAAATAAAATTTAAGAGATGATTTACATTTTCCTTTTTTGCTTATCCATAGTTTCTAACTTTTTTTTTTTTTTTTGAGACAGGGTCTCAGTATGTAGTTGAGACTGACCTGGAACTCACTATGTAGCCCAGGCTGGTCTTGAACTCAGTGATCCTCCTGCCTCAGCCTCCCAAGTGGTGGGATTACAGGCACTCGCCACCATGCCCAGCTGTTTCTAACTTTTTCACAATGGTTATATCTTGCTAGTATTTAAGGTAAAATAAACAGTGCCACAAAAAAATGACAGGATTTTTAAGAACATCACCCTATAGTGAATGTTTCATAAATGTGAATAAATAAAATCTAAAAAATAAATAAAATTTTGTGATTTGCTCTCTCTTGGAAAGGTCAATCATGTAATTTGCTAATTATACCACCTAGTACAGAGTGTGATTTAGAAACAGAGGTTAGTTTGCTTATACAACAGAAAGTTCTCCTAGCTTCCTGTTCATATTGGCTACCCAGGGCTCTCAAATTTAGTTGCCAAGTCTTGGCATTTACCAGTCTCTGGGAGTGTGAAACTCTGGGTGCGAGAGTTCTCTTGGCCTGGCCTACAGAAGCGTAGACAGAATTGCCACAAAAGCATGAAAACAATAGAATATGATGTCGTGGGCATCTCATGGGAGAAGGATGTTGATTGAAATTCACTTTTGCATCATTGATTTTCCCTGCTGATTGAGCCCTGTTAATCTCATTTGGCAGATAAGCTTCAAAGTGCATGAACTATTTGTGCCTCATTAGTTTCAAACAGATTGATTTTGCTAGGATTGCGAATTGGTCATCTTGTTTTGCAGCCTGTACAAGCCAATTCTGGCTCAGCCTTAGAGATGCAGGAACACAGAACCACAGCAGCCCCTGCAGCCACCACCACTGGAAAGAGAGTAGAGAGCTATCCTAAGTCCATGCTTTGAGTCTTTTCTGGAACCAGGCAAAATAAAATATGGGTTGACGTGAAAGCAAAGGAGGATCATCTCTGATATCTTTTATTCAACTTTCTTGTATTCTACTTGGTGTCTCTCCTCTTTTCCCTAATATTTCCTCTCTCCCCGCCCCCAGCTTAGTTCAAACAAATTTGAAAAATATAAAATAGTGACCAATGAACTACTTACAATATAATGATTCCAGGGGCCAGGGATTTAGCTCAGTGGTTCCACCACCTGCCTTGCAAAAGCAAGGACTCGAGTTCGATCCCTGGTACGAAAAACAAACAAACAAACAATATAATGATTCCAGAGGAAAGCAAAATATAAAACCGAACCTATAGTATAATGGTATTGCTTTATAAAAAGCATAGAAAAAAGCCAGCTGTGGTGGCACATGGCTGTAATTCCAGCCAAGGCAGGAGGATCACAAGTTCAAGGCCAGCTACACAAACACAATTTAGCAAGATGTGATGTAAAACTGAAAAATAAAAAGGATGTAGTTCAGTGTCAGAGTGTTTACCTAGTCTGCCAGAGGCTCTGGATTCAATCTCCAATACTGAAGGGGGGAAAAAAAAGCATACAGAAAAAGAAGATGAAAGTAAAAACCAAGGCCAAATGCAGATAGTGATAGCTTTGAGAGGTAGAATACAGATGATACTAATTTTTTAAGCTTTCTTGCATTTTCAAAATTGGTTAAAATAATTAGTAGCATATTATCAGAAACTTTTCATTAAAAATACAGGTACCTAAAGTCACAAAATGGTACATACATAAGTAAGAAAGAGAGTTCATTCATTCCCTTCAGCAAGGTATATTGATTGGCCTGTAATAATTAAAATAACAGAAACTTAATTCAAGCTAGTCCAAATGAACAAAGGGAAATAGGTTGACTTGGTAGTTAAAATGTCAAGGGCAAACACCAGTTTCTAGCAAAACTTGGTGCAGGGACTCAAGAGGCATCATCAGATCTGTCTCTTTTCATCTCTGCCTTTCTCTGGGCATTGGCCACATGCTTTCCTACTGCAGACCAAACCCCCTTTTTCATTTAAAAGATGATCCCAGATTCATACACTTCCACCCCTGAGAATCTAGAAGTGAGTGATCACCCCCAGTAGCTTGTAAAACAAATACTAGGGAAAAACTGGTAGGACTAGTTAGGGGCATGGACCATGATGAGTCATTCCTGAAATAATCATTGTGACAAGGGATTTGTTGGCCTGGGTCACATATCATGGTGGGGAGTGATGTTAAAGGAAAGGAATGAAGCACAAGAACATTCAAACAGATAATTTCCTCAAACCAAGCAGTCTCTCCTACAGGATCACATGATGTAGTCTAGTTAGAAGTTAAGCCAAGGCAGGCATGGTAGGAACATCTATAATTTCAGTACTCTGGAAGGCTGAAGCAGGAAGATCACAATTTTGAGCTCAGACTGGGTACCTTCATGACTTGAGTAAGTCCCCGCGCCCCTCAAAAAACAAAAACAAAAAAACTTAAAGTCTTGGGTTGGGGATTTAGATCAGTGTGAAACCACTGGGTTCAATCTCCAATACAACCAAAGACAGAAGAAAAGATAAGAAGGAAGGAGTGAATGAACGAAGGGAAGGAGGGAGGGAGGAAAAGCAAGAATAGGAAACCGGGATAGAAAACACACAAGATTAAAAATAAGTTCACTGTAACAACATAAAAGATGGCATAAAACAGAACATGACTGGTTATCAAACCATAACACAGACAATAAACTCTAGATCAGAAGAATTCAGGACCTGAATGATCTGAGGAAAATTCATGGAAGAGAAGGGACTTGAGCCAAGTCCAGAAAAATGATAAGGTTTGGAAAACAAATAGAAACTTGAATGTTAGTCCAGATTATGGGAATGCCCGGCGCACAGCCATGGAGATGGTCAAAGGTAAGATGTGTGAGAACAGAACAAAGGGCTTAGGAAGAAGCCCTGTGAAAGTAGCTCAAGCTCCAGGGAAGAGGTGTAAATTGGGGCTACAGTGTACAGTCCTTGAAAGCTAGGGTCACAATTTTGTATATATGCTGCCGAAGCAAGAACAAGCTCATAATTTTGAATTTTATGTGGTTACCAATGAAGAGTCACAAAAGTTAAACAAGGAGTGGTGTTTGGAGATGGCAGGTAAAAGCAGTTTCTCTGGTGGCAGCAGCAGGATGAACTGGAGCCCAGAAATATTAGAGTCAAGAGGTTACTTTAATAGCCTAGGTGTGAAGTAATAAGGGCTGGAACTGGGGAGGTGACAGGAGGAATGGAAAGGACGACATTTCCTTCATTAACTCATTCGGTCAGCAAGTATTTATTAATCACTGAGAACCAGGAACTGTGTTAGATTTGGGCACTGCTCACAGAGAAAAGCATGGGAAGATTTCCTTCTGCTGAGACACAAGTTCCTCAGTAGAAGGTAATCAAAGATGATCCTATAGCTGACCAAGATCATGGTATTGCCATAAAGAGAAGTAGGAAGTCAGGAGAAAGACTGATTTTGAACATCTAAGAACAAATAATTTTGAGTTTAGTGTAAGGCAAGGCAGATAGGTGGGACTATCCAGCAGTCTCAGGGGGAAATAGAGGACTTGAACTGGGAAAGAAGGTGAAGGCAGAGGTAAAGATGAGGATACCTCTTCAAGGAGGGAGATTCAAATCCACTAGGACTTGGGGAAGGTCTGATCCAGCCTGCCTGAGCTTCATTCCAAGCCCAGAGCAGGGAGAGAAACAGATCTCTTTGCTCTGCATCAGGTATAATATAAACCTGTACAGATCTATGCCCCTTCCTGATTCCTAACACAATGGTCCTGCCAGCCACATGCAAGCTGAGATGACTTTTCAAGAAGTTGATTGTTTGCAACCTTCTATGTCACTCCCTTTCCATCCCCGGTTTGAACGATACTCTTCCTTCCTCTCAGTTACGAAAGGGTGTGCTGCAGCCTCATGGTAAACTGTGGACAGAAATAAACCTTGTTCAAGTGTAGCAAGAATATTTATATCCAATCTCATAATATCAATGCAGGCATAATTATGGCCAATCCTGTGATTGCATTGTGGGTATCAGGCACCCAAAACCACCCCAGTGTACTGCAAAGACCAAGGAGATAAGGCTATTGGGACAGAGAGCTTCTGGGCCAACTGATGCTCCGAGAAGCCCAGCCAAACAGGGTGGGTTATTTACAGATTATAGAGGGGCTTTACCAATGAATGTGGTCAAGGAAGTGACAATTTCACAATTATACAGCTCAAATTCCCATTTCAGTAGTACTGCTTTTATTAATAATTGTAAAAAATTATAAAATCAGGGCTTATTCATTGCACATAGTATAGGAAATATGGAAAATGATCCATGATCCCATAATCCAAAAATAACATTAACAGCTTTATATTTGTAATTACAGTATGTCACTTTGCATGTGTGCATTTTGCACTTTGCATGTTTTCTGTCACACTGTAAATTGTTCTTTTTATTAGTATATGTTTGCAATATGTAATAAATACATTCACCATAGGGTATTGGTATGTATACATATCACATCTATACCTTATTTATTTAATTTAATGTCACAACTACTTCTTCGTTTGGGTGGTACTGGGGATTGAACTGAGTACCTTCACTCTGAGCTACATCCCCAGCCTTTTTTTTTTTCTTTTTTCTTTTTTCTTTTTTCTTTTTTTTTTTTGAGACAGGGCTTCATTAAGTTGCAGTTTGCTTAGATGGGACTCAAACATGGAACCCTCCTACCTTAGCCTCCCAGAATGCTGAGATTACAAGCATGTGCTGCTATTCCTACATGCATTACTTAGATATATTCTAAAGCATTGTTCAAAACAATTCTATTGTATGCTTACCTGGTAGGAAAGATACCACGATCACAAAGGTAATTCTCCCAGAGTGAGGCTCATCCATTGTGTTTCAGATGTGCTGACCCCTGCGATTTCACAAAATGCAGGAAACTTGACTGCATTACTTTGTAGTAGTGGGGCACTGTGTTCGTGCTCTCCCCTGGATATTAAGTAAATTTTAATGTGGTATATTCACATAATGAAACATTATTTAGCAGTTCAAAGGAATAAATTAGAGCTTTATGTATCAAGATAAGTATTAATATAAGATATGTAATATAGATACATAATGTAATATAATATGTAGGATATAATTAATTGACTGTAGAAAAGTCTCAGGTTTACAGAGAAATTGAGAACAAAATACAGAGCACTAATTGTCAAACCACCAGCCCCACAGTTTTCTCTCTTATTAACATCTTGCATTCATATGATGCACTCATTACACAAATGATGAGCCAATATTGATATGTTATCAACTAAAGTCCATAGTTTCCACTGGGCTTCAGTCTTTGTTTTACACACTCTAAATTTTGACAAATGTGAAATGACATTTATATACCACACGGTATCAACTGAAGTTTCACTGCCCTAGAAACCCTCAGTGCTCCACCTATTCCTGCCTCCCTCCACCCACACACCTGGCAACCTCTGCTTTTTCTGCTCTCTCCACTGGCTTGGGTGGGGACAGAGGGTGGTGACTGTGTGGCCAAGAGACAAGAAAATGTATAAGTAAGAACTTGGCACTGCGGTCTTGGAGCATGACAGCCTTGAAGGTAAGAGTTTTGTGTGGGGAGACGCTCTAAGACTCCCCAGAGAATATTTACTTTTTTCAGTCAGTTTATCACCCCAGCAGGAAGATGGACTCTGATATAGGGCTCCTGGTTCAAATCTCAACTTATTCACTCATTGGCTATTTGACTTTAGGTAAATGGCTAAGCCTTGAAGGCTTCAGTTCCTAAAGGAGAATACAAGAACACCATCCCAGAACTGTTGTGCAGGTTCAACGATATTTTATATATACAACATGCTAAGAAAGTACCTTGCATAGTGTGTGTGTTCAATGAATGTTAGCAGTGATGATGGTGATGGTGATGGTGATAAAGAATCTGTTCTTTTAAAAAAGTGAACAGTCATCCCAAGAGCATAAGATAACCAAGTCAAGATCAGCGTGATTCTTATACACTTTTCACCTAGAGAAAGGCTCTGTGCTTTTCACCATATCAAGCATGACCTGGATTCAAGTGGGTGGGGAACTGCAGGAGCAAAAAAATAGAAACACCTCATTAGATACTGAAAAGGAATTTGGGCAACTGTCAGGATTTTTGCATGCTATCTGCCAGTCTAGATATATGTTCCTGTGTTTGTATTTGTTCTCATGTGTAACTGTCTCTAGAGCCTATCTTTCGGTTGCTAAAGCTGGCCACTGCAGATGAGTTTTTAAATGGATATATGGCCTTTGAAATTCTACTTCTCACCCAATAAAGAGATTTCTATCTGTAATATCTCTACATGTGCTCCACTAATTAGGAGACATCCTACATCCCTCCTTTTCTTTAATTCCCAAGCAAACATTGGTGCCTTTATCTTCAAAACAACCTATTTCTCTCCCCCTTTCTACTGTCACCAGTAATGTTCAGAAAGCATCCTTCATTCCTCTCCTAGACCACCAACCTCTGACACACTTGTGGGCCATTTTCCCACAGAAATCAGGGTACATTTAAAAACTGTAAATCACATCATGACTCCCTACCTATCTTAGGCCTAGTTCCTAGAAGCAGATCCTGAGATGAGGAAACATAAGCAAGTAATTTACTTAATAAGTACTCTAGGAGACAAGAGTAAGGGAATGGGGAGAGGTTGGACAGGAAAGGAGAAGATATTAAGCAAGGAGGAAGCCTGAAAGCCTAAAGTTTAGACACAGCCCCAGCCTGGGCCAGATTCCTCTAGGAAGCTGCGGATTGTAAATAGCATAAAGAATCTTGTTCCTCCTAAAGACAAGGGCCTGGGCCCACTGGGCTAGCTGAGTCCTTGGCTAGGAAGCTTTGGAAGGAGCTTTCTGAGCAGACAGGCAAAGTGCTCTAATGACCAAGGGCGATCCTTGGAACAAAGTTATAGGTGCTTAGAACTACAAGCACGCAGAAGCTGAGGACTGGCATACAAAGGCTGGGAGCTGGCCAATTGAAACAGCAAAAAGGATCCAGGAGCACGCCAACTAACCTGGTCCTCTGCAGGTTCTTGTCTCAGGTCCTTGTTCATTTTCTTGATAACACATCTCACAATTTAAAGTATTTTATGGAATAAATTGTCTCTGTACTTGTTTGTAGTTTGTTTTCCCCAACTAAAGTGAAATCTCCAAGACTGTAGCCAGATTTATTGGCCTTTGTACCCCAATTCCTAGAACAGAGATGAAACATTATGGATCTTCTATAGGAATTTGTGGGAGTTAGTCAGATGTGGTGCTGCATACCTGTAACCCCAGCATTCGGGGAGTCTGGGGCAGGAAGATCACAAGTTCAAACCCACCCTGGACAGCATAGCAAGATGCTGTCTCAAGATAAAAAAAATTAAAAATGGATATGGATAGCTCAGTTGGAGATTCAATCCCCAGTATAGCTACACACACTGACACACACACACACAAGCATACACACACACATGTACACACATTGATAAATGGAGAATATAGCTTTAGTTTGAATACCTTCAGTAATAAGGAACTTCTCTAGCACAGTGCAGCTCATCTCCTTTTTGAAAAGCCTCAGCTTTTTTCAATATGAAAAGCCTGTCCTAAGCCTGAACTCTGTTCCTCTTCCCCCTCATTTGCTCAATCTTGTCTCTTCCCAGAAATGACTCAGAAGATGATGACTTCTTCTCCATCAGATTTTTTAATATCCAAAATGTCTCCCATTTATTTTCTGCAGGTTAACTAACCTCAACTCCTCCAAAGGTTCTTCATTTGATGTGGATTTTAGGCCCATTAACATGCATATATGTTCTAGTCTGATGCAATTCTTTTTACCAAGCCATACGAAACAGCAATCCTTTCCATTACACTCTGAATACACCTAGTCTTAGAAGGTAATACAGATGGAGGCAGACAAGAATTTCAAGGAGTCCCACTGCTGCCATAAGGGGGAAGCTTGGTGGCAGACTCAGCACCAGCTGGCTCCCTCCCCTGTATACCTAAGGCCAAAGTGGCAAAGATGACCTCCGGAGTGCAAGTTGCTGATAAGTATGTCGCATTTTTATGACATGAAAATTCAGAAAAGCTTCACACGAGAGGGAATAAAGAAAACAGAGAAGGCTGTCATTTTTTTGTCTCAGTGCACAGATAAAGTACATCATCACTGAAAAACACGAAGAGATCTTGGCTAGAGATATTGGTTGGTATGCCTACCACTGACTGATCCTTTCATGTATTTTGTGGGAATGCTTCCTGAAAAAGATTGCTGCTATGCTTTGTGTGACAAAGCTTTGAAACCAAGGGATCCAGAAAAGAAGAGTTGATTTTGTGTGCATGGGTGTGGACACCGGAGCTAGCATCTCTGCAGAGTAAAGTGCAAAGTATCGGCAAGCTCCAAGGATGCCTTCAAAATAAAATTTCAAGACATAAAATATAAATGTCAAGCAAACGAGCTAGAAGACCTCAATCAGGCTTTATTGCTGAAAAGCTAGGTGTATCCTTATTTGTAGCCTTTGAAGGGCACCCTGTGTAGACAATCTTTCAAGTCACAAATCAAAAGCTTCCATATTTAATGTTGTGTTCTTGCTCTGTAAGTAAAGCTAATACAATTAGGCCATGGTCTCACTGAGGGGTGTGTTTGTCTTGTCATCTTTTAGAGTAAAAAAATTGCCGGGGATTTAGCTCAGCGGTTCGGTGGCTTGCCTTGCAAGCGCAAGGACCCAAGTTCAATCCCCAGAACCAAATAAAAAAAAGAATAAAAAAACTAAACATGTGCAAATGCAGCCCTAAATACCTTAACATCTAAAGAGAGGGGAAAAAAATGGAGGACTGAAGCTGAAGGTTATCAACTAATGCTCCAGAGTCAGCAGACCCAGGGTTGAATCCCAGCTCCCCTTACTGAATGACTGATCTTTTTTTTGTTGTTTTTTGAGACAGGGTCTCACTACGTAGTTGAGACTGACCTGAAACTCACTATGTACCCCAGGCTGGTCTCAAACTCACAGTGATCCTCCTGCCTCAGTCTCCTGAGTGCTGGGATTACAGGCATGCACCACCACGTCCGGCCTGAATGATTGATCTTGTTCAAAAATGCTTATTTTGCTACACTTGTTTCTTGACTATACAATGGGAAAATAAGACAATCCACATTACAGAGTCATTGTAAGAGTTAAAATAAACAAGGCAGTGGGTATAAACCACTTAGCAGAGGAGGCACATTTTAAAGTACTAAATCCTTTCCAAACTTGACCTCTGACCTAGTGGCTCTCCATGTCCCTCAATCTACTTGTTTCCAGTCAAAACCTCCGGGCTACTCAGCTCAGTCACCTTCATACTTCTTCACTCATGATAAGGTATCCTGGTGATATCCTGACTACTATTTCTTACCATTTTCTCATCCTCATCAGAACTCTACCTCTCTATTTCACTTCTTCCATATCCATTCTCCTTTTCTCTTTTACTTGTTCTCCTTGCTCAATTAATTCTTTCTTATTTATTTTCCTTATTTCTCTCCCTCCACCCCATCTTTTTTTTTTTTTTTTTTTTTTTTTTTTTTTTTTGTGTGTTTCT